TGTCTTTCTGCAACTGGGGGGGCTTATTTGTTTTTGGATGATAAACATCTGAGTTACTAGGAAAAACAAACAAACAAACAAACAAAAAAAAACAACACAAAAACAAACAACAATGCAACTGGAGATCAGTTACCTCTTACTGAGTAATTTCTGATTGCTTTGTTTACAGGCCACTGTCTTGTGAATACATGTGTTTTACTGGGCCACAAAAAGAAACAGGTTTTGAAGATCAGTTTCTTACCTTGTTTCTGCATATTTGCAGAAGTTTACTGCTTATTTACACACCAGAGCAACACCAAAAAACAGCTAAAAACAAACAAACAAAAAAACTAGTGATGCCTCTCACCTACTTGCACCTTTGCTAGGTGTTTTAAATGCCTGAACAGCCCCTTAGTTCTGTGTCTCTCACTCCCAGGGTATACAAACCTTGGAAAAAAAAAAACAAAACAAACCACGAAACAGATGATAATTTTCCCCTTTGTTTGAAGTGGGACACTTCATATCTCAAAGCACGAATACATTTAATCATAATTTTTGCCTTGGCAATTTTCTTTAAACTAAAAAATTGAGAGAATAGGTCCAAATGTCTAAAGTACATTCAATAAACTCTGGCTGAATCCAGCTCCCCGGAACCCACACGCTTCCTTACCGCTGGGCAAGGCCCTGCCCTTTGGAGAGACAGGACCTTAGTGGAGACTGCAAAAGGGGTGCTCAATCCCTAAAACGACTGGTAATGAGTCACTGCAAGAACAGGTCCCAAAATAGTAATTATTTTCTTTTACCTACTTGGCATCAGAGGAAGCATCTCACTAATGGCTGAACTCTGAAGAACAACAATTTTCCAATTAGAAATATTATAGCTGTTTGATAGGGTTTTGGAAATAGGTATTCTCATCACCACAGACTGATTACATGATGGGTGCTGTGAAGTGAGATCTAATTACCCTGTTTATTGTTACTTTCAGAATGGGAAAATGGATTGCAACTTGTAAGCCAGTGCGAGCAGCAGATGAACAACATTCTTAAGTGTTATTTGGAGGAAAAGGAGAAGGAAGAAAAGAGTAAGAAAAAGGAAAAATAAATGTGCACATATTTTATGAAGACAATATATGAATTGTGTGTCTATAAAATTTACCAGAACTACTGAAAATCTAATATTTATGTTTAATGGGGGAAAATTTTATTTGTATCTCTGTCCTGATTCTTCTGTTTTGATCCCTTGTTTGTATGACAAAAACTAAAGAATAAAGTAACTGCTTGATACCTGAAATCCTTTTAAGCTTATAAAGTACGTAATTGTATTATTAGCATTTTGTTATTCCTCAGGTCTGTACATAACCTCATACTGTAAAACAATACTCGTCTATTTACAAATCAGCCAAATTAGGAGTGTTGCTAAAACAAAAAGGACTTAATACAATTTTTTCAAGGAAAATCGCATGTTCTATTAAATCTTTGGAAGTCAACAACACTACGTGACAGCAGGTTGGCTGTATCTAGGTGTGTTACAAGCGTAGGATAAGGTCACTTGGCCCTGTTTCAAAACTAGCTGAAGTATTTTGTCTTGGAAGCAAGAGTGGTGTTATGTGAGAAACTGTCTCTGATGAGGAAAAAAAGTTTCTTTATCCCAACAAAAGTTGACCCATAAGGTGTCTCAAAGGTACATAGAGGAGTCAGTAGTTAATGTATGAACTCATACCAACATATGAGGATTCTCAGTGATTAATTTATGGGGAAAAGTGGGCTGAGCATGGGCCTTGTACAATTCCTAGATGCTGTTTAACTTCTCCAGAAGCCTCTGAGGCACTCTCGCACCTGCCATGGACCTGGCACCCTGATAGCACTAAAAACATGAGCAGTAATCTGTTTTCTTCTTATTCAGCTCAGAAACAAAGTAGTGACGAGCTTGTTGTACTCAGTCTCTGGACCTAAACCAGACCTGAGCCAAACACCGCCAAGTGACACCCCCACAGCCTGGGGCCGCCGCAGGGACCAAACCCACACGGTAACCGCAGCAGCTCCAGCTTGTGCCTGCCCGGACCCCCCCCAGCAACACCCCTCCGCGGGTTTTCGCCCTTGTGGCACCGCACAAAGCACCCGAGGAGCAGGAGGGTGCCCTGCAGGCAGCCTCCTTGCCTCCTTGCCTCCCTCCTTGGCTCCCTCCTCGCTTCCCTGCCCGTGAGCCGCGAGGTGGCGCCGCCGCCCGCTGCCGTGAGCGCAGCGACAGAGGCGAGAGCAGAGGGTGAATAGCGCCTGCAAATTGCTGCCGCCGCCTCTGTTCCAGCTCCCTAAAATCTCAATCAACAATCCATTAGAACTCAACGGGAGTAAAACTAAATCCTCGTTTAAGTGTATTTATCCGATCTCCTTTCTCTCTTTCAAATGCTAAATCCATTTCAGCATATGCCCCTTCTTTCTCTCGCCTTTCTCTAAAGACTGGCAGCCTATACCACTCTTGTAAATATGAAAGATGCTAATCATATGACATATCACGTCTCAGTCGGAGCCTGGAATAAAGCCTTGAGATTTGGGATCATTGCCTCCAGACAACAGCTTCATCAGCCGGAAAGTTGTTTTTTTTCTCCTTTCCTTCAACTCTCAATCCCTTCTTTGTCTGGGGGAAAATGCAGCCAACTCGAGCCACCCTGGCCATATGGTTCACTCTGTGTTTTCTTAGTTGAATTCTGAATTGTTTGTGACTTGCGAAGGGTTTTTTTTTTTTTTTTTTTTGGGAAGGGCGTATAAAGACATAGAAGAGGCTGCCTGCGCTGGGGCGGCTTTGCAGGGCTGCTGCATGTTCTTCACGTGTTCATTTCACACACTCCTTCTGCAGCCACTTCACTGCTACTGCTCTGCCTCGGAGCCAGAAGATAAAGCTCCGTGCACGCTTTTTGACAGTAACACAACAGATTCCAGGGGTCTCCTTAGTTTTTTCCCTTCAGCGGACAAAAACACCTTCTTAAACCTGATGCGCTTTGGTTTTCAGGGCTGCCTGTACCTGCCCCTAGCCTGGTGCAAACGTGCAGCGTGTGCACTGGTGTACGCGCTTGCTGGTGAGCCCCTGCTACGAGCACCTCGGATGAGAGAAGTGCCAAAGTATTTTGCAGCGAGGGAGAGAGAGCGTGGCTTTTCAGACCTGTATAAATCGGGAGCTGAATGAGTTCGGCGCGCTCGAGTTTGGATAGCCCCCCGTTTGATAGCAGCCTGCCAAATTTTCTTTCTCTCTTTCCTTACACAAACCCCCAAAAAAGGCCCTTTCACCAAATCATTAAATTCTACAGAGGTGGTCAAGCTAGTCCTGCTTTTCATGCGTTTGAGAAAGAAAAGGGTCCTTGAAGTTTAGAAGATGCCCAAGGAAAACTCATTGAATGACATCAAAAGAATGAGTTTCCATAGCTGTTGAAGCACGAGAGCTGTGTAGCTGCACAAAGGCGGGTTGGGGCAGTGGGACTGTCCCACTGCTCTATCCCAGCACAATTGGGTCACTGAAATAGGGAATTAATTACCATTGGAGAGTGGGCAGCCCATTCACCACTGGCTGAGTTTTATTAAACGCCAATATAAATAACAAAACAACTCTTGTGGCTGCACTATTCCTACACGCCAAAGGAAGGATTATGTTGGGGATTAACATCTTAAAGTCTATGAGACTTTCTGACTCAAGGCTCGGAGCTGGTAATCGTATTTGTCTCCTGGTTCAGCGATTAGTGCTCTCCCTCGCGCACCTTCGCCTGGATGGCCAATGTCCCTTTTTGCAGGCACTGGGTTTTTCACACAATCGGCTGTTCTTTTCCCCACATCTATAGAAAAGAATAAGAAAACTGAAGCGTGTTCACGCGATCCTCAAGCTTCTTCTCTTCTTCATGGGAAAGGAAGGCACCGGCGGCCTTTTTTCACAAGGGGGGGGAGGCAAACCCTTTTGGGGGGTGGGCGGCGGGGCTGCGGGTTGCAAAATCGCTCCGCAGGCCTGCACCTGCCATGCAAATCCGCCGGGAACAATCGTCCCCGTCCCAACGAGGGGCTTGGCTGCCCCGGGGGGGCTGGGGCAGGATGCCGGGGCAGCGCTGCCCGAGGGGGTCCACCTTGTCCCCGAAAGGACCCCAAAGTCCGGACCCCGCAGGGCAGCCCCTGCCCCATCCCTCCTCACACTGCTTTTTGGGTTCCTGGCCCCAGTACCCTTTGGGGAGGGGACGTGCTTTGACCTCCCCATATTCCCCCCCCATTCACCTGTGGCAGCGGGGCCTGGCGAGCCGTCAGCGCCCGCTCGCAACTTGTGGGGTCGAAGCGCGGACGGGCCGCGTCCAGAGGTCTCTCGGCAACACAGACCCTAAACTTTTAGGGCTACCGGGTCGCCTGAGAGTTCAATCTGCTTAGGGCAAACAAAGCCTTTCTGAAGGTCTCCCCCTCTCCCGCACACCAGCTCAGCGTCCTTTATTTCTGGGCCGTGCGATAAGCTTAAATCATTGTGCTCCCGCTTCTTGAGCGTCGCCCGCTTTGGCCCTTTTGTTCCCCTAACGGAGGGAGGACGGAGGCTGCCGAAGGGGCTGAAGTTGAACAGTTTGACCCCCGCAGGACAGCGGGCACCCCGCCGCCCCCTCGGCTCTCCCCCGAGCCGCCCAGCCCTTGTGGGACCACACAGGCACCCGGACCCCGCTGGCTGTCAGCGGTCCCCATGGTCCATCCGGGCAGGGTTTAGGAGGCTTCCCGGGGTGTTTGCAGCCTGCTTCTGGTTATTTTTATTAGTAATGGTGTTATAGGATCAGCGTGCTTCGTAAAAAGTCTTCTGCAGTGCATGTGGGTCGTAAAAAGGGGGAAAAAACCCAACCCAAACCCGACCCCAAACCCAAAACCTGATAAAAAAAAAAAACTCGAAACAACACCAAGAAGGAAAAGGCGCCCCCAAACCCGATCCGGACCCAGCGCACACGGCTGGCCTGGGGCCGTCGGAGCCCCCCCCAACCCCCTTCAACCCCCCGCCCCCCGCCCGGGGCTGCTGAATGGCGCCGGCTCCCGCGCGCGCCCCGCGCCCCCCCCATTCATTAATAAATTAGCGGCACGCTCCAGCCGAGCGCGAGGCTCCGAGGGGGGGCACGGGGAAAAGGGGGGAGAAACAGGGGGGGGAGAGGCCGGGGGCCGGGGCTGAGGCCGGGGCCGGGCGTCGGGCGGGGCGGCGGGGGGCAGGTTTGATTGTTCCCCGCGGGGTATATAAGGGGTGTTAAGGAGGGTCGTGTGCCAGACACGCAGCCGACGGGCCCCGGGCCGCTCCCCCCCGCCCCCCTCTCTCCCCGCCTTTCCCCCCCCTCCCCAAAAATCCTCCCTCCTCCTCCTCCTCCTCCTCCTTTCCCCCCCCCCCCCCCAGGAGGATGCTGGTGAAGGCGGAGAGCCCCGCGCCGCCGGCGGAGGACGAGCTGCTGCTGCTGGGGCTCGCCTCGCCCGCCCCCTCGCTGCCGTCCAGCGCCGGCGACGAGGAGGAGGAGGAGGAGGAGGAAGAGGAGGAGGAGGAAGGGGAGGAGGAGGCGGCTTCCCCGGCCCGGCCCGGCTCTGCCCGGCCGTCGGGGCCGCGGCGCAGGGAGGGGAAGCGGCGGCCGGGGCGGTGCCGCACGGCGGAGGCTGCGCAGCGGCTGAAGCGGAGCCGGCGGCTGAAAGCCAACAACCGGGAGCGCAACCGCATGCACCACCTGAACGCGGCGCTGGACGCCCTGCGGGACGTGCTGCCCACCTTCCCGGAGGACGCCAAGCTCACCAAGATCGAGACGCTGCGCTTCGCCCACAACTACATCTGGGCGCTCACCGAGACGCTGCGCCTGGCCGGGGGGGCGGCGGCGGCGGCCAGGGCCGGCCCCGACGGCGGGCTGGAAGCCAGCCCCTCGCCGGCCTCGTCCTGCAGCCCGGCGCCCTCCGCCTCCCCCTACGCCTGCACTTTATCGCCCGCCAGCCCCGACGGCTCCGCGTCCGACGCCGAGCACTGGGCGCCCCCCCGGGGCCGCTTCGTGCCCCCCCCGCCGCCGCCTCCGCCGCCCCGCCGCTGCCTCTAGCCCCGCAGCCCCCTCCCCAGATTTTCTCCCCCCCCCATCCCCGTCCCAAATTTCCTCTGCCCCCACCTCCGACGTTGCACTTTGTCCGCTCCCCCAGCTTTTGTGTGTGTGTCCCCCCCCCCCTCCAACCCTCCTTCCCTCCCGCTCCCCGTTTCGCCAGCTGTCTCTTGTGATTTACGAGGTTTGGGGTGGGGTGGGGGGGTCCGCAGATCAAGAGAGAAAAAAAAAAGAAAAAGTTGAGTTGTTTTGTTAGGGGGCCAGGTTAGAAGTCATTGTATAATTTGTAGGCTTTGTGAGGGCTGAATGCAAGCGTGGAAATTTAGGCTGAACTCTCTATCAAAAGGGAAAAAAAAAAAAAAAAAAGAAGAAAAAACAACGTCAAGGGAAAGGGGGGGTGTGGATCGGGAGGGAGGACTCGTCATGCATTATTTATTTCGACCTTTAGGGGACGAGGAACTCCCCCCTTCTTTCAGGAGATTAAAAATAAATCAACAGACTGAAAACCTAAACAGACACGGAACATTACAGCGATCAGCCACACACGTGTTCACATTTATTTATTATAAAGAAAGATTTCATGGAAAATATGTATTTTTTTGTATAATTTACAGAGTTTATTCTAGTATGTATTTACAGCCGAAGAGCAAAGGGACTGTTCTCGTCATAAAATATAAATAAAATATCTAATTTTCATAACTTGGTTTGCTGCTTTTTTTTGGCTGGCGTGCCACCTGTCAGGAGCTGGGGGGCTCCTCCGGCACAGGGGGGCTGGCAATTGCCCTGGGCTCTGCCAAAAATTGGGGTGGGCTGGGCAAGGAGCCCCCCGGGACCCAGCCGAGTTTGTGGGGTGCGATGGGGTGACCCAGGTGTGTGCCCCCTTGCAAGTGCTCCAGGGTTCATCAGAGCTCTCCCATACGTTTTCATTTCTAAAATTCTGGTTTGCTTCTTCAAAATCACCCCCCCACACACCTCTTTTTCCTTATTTCCCCCCCCCCCCCCCCCAGTGGAATAGGAGTGAGACTAAACTCTGGGATGTCAGCTTAGTCCCAGCGTTGGTGCAGTCACTTTTGGGGTGATAAGATAATCGGGGATGAGGGGGACAAGAACAAAATCCCTTCTTCTCCCAGCAAAGGGAGCCCCCAGAACTGGCTGTGGTGTGGAAAGGAGCCACCAGAAATACACACAATCACCCCTACAGCAGCACGTCGCCTGCATCCTGTGGTTTCTCTAGCAGCAATGCTGCGTTTAGGTGCACTGGGAGCTCGCTGAGGATCGACTTTTATCTCCCACTGCAGAAGATGTAACTGCCTAAAACCCTTCTTCAAACCGATGGCTCCTGAGTATCACCGAGAGGGACGTAGGACATAAACGCTACCCAGAAAATAAAAATGAGTGAGCTTAAATAAAAACTGGTTTGGGGTTTTGGCTGAAAGAGGAAGGCTCCGTTCCTTCATCTCTCTCATGTTCTGGTGAAACCCACACCACGGGCAGGGCCGGGGGGAGCTCAGAGCACCTCCGGGGATGTCTCGGGTTGTCCCATGGAGACGTTGTCTCCTACACAGGGCACCCAAAAAAGACCTGAACAGGAGCAGCCAGTCTGCCCTCACCCTTCATCCTTCCAGTCCTTCCTTGCTCCATCACTGCCCTGCACTGGCTGGGCAGTCCTCATCCTCCGTGCCTGTGCCACGAGCCCAAACCAGGGCGTTTTTAGCCCAGCGCCATTAGTCCATCGCTGGCAGGGCCGGGGGGTGTCTGGCGCACTCCGAGGCCCTTCAATCATCGCCCCGTGTGCCCAGCAGCGCTTTGTGACTTCTGGGTGCAAACACCTGGAAATCATTAAAAACCAGCGGAGGCGGCTGAATGTATTAATTAAATAAACCGCGCGGCACATGAATCTGCCTGGTGCCCCCGGATCCTGGGAGCGTGAAACCCGGCCCGGCGAGCGACGTCCCCGAAGGGGGCAAAAGGGAAAAAAAAAAAAAAAAAAAGAAAGAAAGAAAAAAGGAACGTGTGAAAAGAGAATTAGTGAAATTAGGTTAGCCCAATAAAACGTGCGGGGGTTCGCCCCCCCTTCCCCGCAGCCTCAGGCGAGCGGTGCTATCGAGCCTGATCTATTGTTTCCCCCCCTGGCAGGGGGGTTATTGTGTGATAAATAATTCCTGGAGGACAGAAAAAAAAAAAAGAAAAAAAAAAAGAAAAAGAAAGAGAAAAAAGTGGGCGCATTTGCATAATCACGGCTTTGATGTGGCCAGCGATATGAAGCTGTGTCCCCCCAAATCTGCCGTGGGCCAGAAGGAACAAAACAGGAGGCGTCCTTTCAGTGGGGCTGGCAGCGTGTGGGGTGGCCTGTCAGGAGCGGGATGGCTCTGTCTTTCTCTGTGAACAACCCCTCTAACGATTAAACTCCAGGAATGCCAACAAGGAGCCCGATGCCTGGCTTGCCCTCGTGCCGTGGTGGTGATGGGGAGCATCACCCATCCCGCCGGGCAGATGGGAAAGAGAAGGGGGTGGATGGGGGTCCCACAGCCCTTCCCCGGTCCCTTCCTGGCTGCAGGCACTGCTGCAAAGCCGGAGGGTCGCAAATTATTAGCAAAATCCCAGTGGCTGCCCAGAGCCTCAGGAAAGCAGCCCGTGGGCCCAGAGCCCTGCAGTGGGCCTGGTACTGGGCTGCAGGTGTAAAAGGCAAAAGTGCCCCTTGGGATGGAGTGGGGGAGCCAGGGAGCTGTTTCCACGGCTGCACCTTGTTGAAAAAGTGTAATTCCTCGTGACAAAGAGGTTGTCTTCCCTTTAAAGTGTGTTTATGATCCTTCTGCACATTGTGCATAAAAGCTGCTCTGCACTGCTGGAGCCTGCCGGGCTGCTCTGTGGCTCCAGAGAGGGGTTTGTACACACCCCTGGCTCACAAATAGCTACGGGGAGCCCACCTCACCCCAAGGGCTGCCACTTTCTTTCCTCTCGTGTGCTACACAACCCGCTGGTGCACCTGTGTGTTTGCACAGAGCAAGCCCGGCCTGCACGGCCGGCCACCACGCGGCCTTCCCCGCTCCCCAGCACGCATTTCACACGTGGGATGCATGGCCTGGCCTTGATTTACTCCTGTTATGGAAATTTTTCTCATGATTTTATTGTCACAAGGAGGCTTTGGTTTTGTGATGGCAGAAAATAAAATTTAAAAAAAAAAATAAATAAAGTAATGCCATTATGCTGTGAAGCAACTGGATTAGGGTTCACCTGTTACAGGACCTCCTACAGGGTGCTCTAATGACTTCGTTATTGAAATGTATATTACATTAAGTAATTAAGCACACGTGGGCTGCTTTTTTAACACAGGATTCATTATTTTTTTTGCATAATGTGGTTTTAATTGAAAGGGCCAATCATCTGGGAGATTAGACAGTTACACCTTATTTCCACACAAAGACAACTTTTAGAGAAATGCAATGCCTCTTCAACGAGATCACACCCCAAAATATCTGTAAAACATACAAATGGGGGTATGCCCATGGGCCTGGGGAAAGCAGCTGGCCCTGGGGCGCGTCCTGGCCGAGGACCCGGCCCTGTGGGACAGGGACAAGGACATCGCTGTGGCAAGGGGAGCGCAGCGCTCCACACAGCCATAGGGGCTGGGGGGCTGCACCTGATCTCTCAGGAACCGAGCCATAGAAAACACCTCCTGTAAGGGTTTGGGCTTGTCTGGTAAAACTTTGCCTTCTTTTTGTCTGGATTTGACCTGTGCAGCCCCCATTCCTGCACTGTACGGACAAAGCAGTCCCAAGCACTCACCGCAGCTCAGCACGCGTTTGTGCAGCAGCTGTAGCGCTGCGGACCCCTTCCACGAGCAGAAGTCTTGGTGGGATTTTTACCCAGTGTAGAGGGATGCCTTGGGCTGGGCAAAGTCTTGCATCTCTAAACCTGTCTTGACTTGTGCCCAGCTGACACCTTCCTCCTCGGGAAGCATCCTGCCTTAAAGCCGTGATGCTGTGCTGTCTGTGCGGGCTTGGCACACGTTTTTGCTGTCACCGTGGGGCAAACCTGAGCTCGGGCTTAGCACTGAGCCTCTGGGCCAGCACAGCAAGCTTTGGGCTGTGCTTTCCTCCCCGCAGCCCGCAGTGCTGAATGCAACATGGGCGGTGAGCTGGCAGTGCTGGGACTGGAGACAGAGCACTTTAAAAGCCGCCTTGAGGAAAAGCCGTGCAGCGGGCAGAGGGAAGGCGGGCTGCTGTGCCGGAGGGCAGCAGGGACCGGGCCTCCTCCCATCCCCCTGCCTTGATTAAAAAGGAGAGGGTCCGGACCAAAGCTGATGGCATATTTACCTTCGTGAGTTTTAGAAAAGTTAATTACCGCTTGGAGCAAGTTGGTATGGCTGTCCTGAGCTGCCTTTTATTAGTAGTCGCCTTCATTAATTTCCCTCGCTGGATTTGCTGCTAATAGCTGCTTGGTCCCGGGCAGCACAAAGCAGCATCTGTGCCATTGAGCAGAAAAGCGGGAGTCGGGCAGAGGGGGGCCGGGGGGCGGCGGGGGGGGGGGACGCCGTTTGCAAATCATCCCCTATTAACGTGACGGCCCGCGCGGGGCAGGCAGCAGCCCCGTGCCTCCCGTGTCCGGCACGGCCGCTTGGGCTTCAGCCTGGCAGCGGAGGGGGGAAAGCCTGGGCGCCCCTGGGTGCTTGTGCTGGCTTCTCCCACCCGCTGAATCTCCCGGGCCTGGTCTGGGTGAGGATGCAGGTGTCAGCGCCATGTCGCCCGCCTCGCGCCCTCTGCCAAGGCCTGATGATGCCCCAGTTCCGCCTGCGCTCCTCGTGCCCAGCTATAATAGGCTTCGGTTGTTGAACATGTTCCCTTTCAGTCTCTAATTGACTGATTTTTATGCAAGAGTGCGTGCAGCAAAGCACGCGAGGCCTCTGTCTTTCGCCTGGGTGCTCGCAGAGGGACTTCTAACAGCACAAACTTCCTTCACCAAACACCTTCCCCAAAGCTCGGGAAAGAGCTCATTGCCACGCTGTCAGCAGCAGAAAGCTTTTGTGCTTGGCTTACTGCTTTTACCAGGTGAATGTAAGTCCTGCAGGCTTTATGCCCCTACAGCTGATGACAATATTTCACTGCTCTAATGCAGCGCAGCTTCTCTCATTTCGTAGCGACCATGAGGTGACTGCTTCCTAATTTGTGGCTCTCGCCTCACGCTTGAGACTGTGGTGTGATTAAAAAAAAAAAACTAAAAAGCACATTGGGTAGCAAGTAATACAAGACTGAATGCCCATGAAAAAAAAATAAAACAAAACAACAAATAACACAAAACAATGGAAATCTTGGTTGGTTCACATGACTTTCTTCTGAAGCCAGAGGAAATAGCAGGAAGGAGACATTTTTGTCCAGTAGCTCTAAGCTGATGCTTCCAGCCGAAAGATTAAGTGCTCCGAGACAGCTGCTGAGCTCCCCCGTTAGCCCCCCGTTTGTACCATACACCGCATCAACCCGCAGCCCAAGTTCTGTGTGTTTCGGGCCACGTACGTGCTACGGCTGCCCAAAGGCTGTTGGATATGTGTGGACACGTCATTATTAAGGCAAGCTCAGTGCTCAAGCACCGGCTAATGGCAGGGCGCTGAGCAAAGCTCTGAGAGCTCCAAACACGAGCCCAAGCCTGCGGAGGTTGCGACCGATGGAAGCTACCAGGCTAAACGTTACGGTGCTGGCTTTAGG